TTTCTAAGATACATAAACTTTTGGGATTGAGTATATAACCAATACATCCTTAAGTTCGTTTCGTCCTAAACGATCTACAATTGCGATTGTCGCGTGACGTTCTTGTTAATATAGAAATCAATATTTTTTAATCACCTGCGATGGGCGCACCTATAGCTGCCGCCACGCCTTGAAACAGAAGAAGCAATCCGAAAGCGTTGGTCAGTTTCTCCAAGCTCAGAAGGTCCACCACGAGGATCGATCTCAATGAGGCGAAGACGGCTAACGGAAAGCAATAAGAAACAAAAGTTTCGATATTGTTTGCTAACTCGGAACGTAGTCTGGTTGAACTTACATATACTGAGCCCGAAACTAGCGGCGTAAAAGAATTGAAAGCCTTGGGAGAGCGACAGCCCGGAGAATATGGTCAAGAGTCCGCCGGCGCTGATGAATATGTTGTTGACGACCAAAGCGTTAACTCCTGGCAAGCTGCTGGCCACTCCGCACACGACACGACCTATGGTATTCCCGATACCGATCACAGAGACGAGGAACATGGCAGTGGAGGCCTCGACGCCTGCCAACTGGGCTCGATCTGTTCAACAAAAACGATCACCTTCACTTCAAATTCCCTGCCCTTCTTCGTCTGGCGGCCTCGTAAACGGGTCACCGCGTGTCCTTCGATTCGGCTTCAATCCTTCGTTTGATTTACGAGCTTGCAACTCTTCTGGCCGAATTACTCGAGGTAAAAGAAAAATTGTTAGACGTAGTTGAGAGAGCGATACGATACCTGAGACGTACATGAAGGGTGTGTAGAAGCCCATCATCGTCAGTCCACCGGAAATGGCTAGGATCAGGAAGGAAGGACTCTTGAGAAGACTCAAATCGAGCATTGTAGTGAGAATTCGGCGGACGCTCTCTGGACAGAGGTAACAGCTTCCGCTTTCTTCTTCGGCTACGTCTGTCGCGGTGGGCAAACGTGTGACGGACATGTGATAGCCAACGGACGATTGCTGTCAAAACCATACATAATGAATTAACGATCAAATTATAGCCAAAGATATCTTATAATTACTACGGATTTTTGTGCAACATGTATGACAGTAATTCCTTCTATCACTTAAGCAATGCAATATTTCTCATATTTTGTATCGTTTATATTTTCTGCACATTCATTTTTCGTTATGCATAAAATCCGCAATACAATAAATCCTCGGTTTAACGGACCTCACTGTAACGGACGTTGGATTTAGCGGACGCTTTAACTTGGCATGTAGTTCCAGTCAGATTTGCTTACATACTTTTTACTATGTTACCAATTATATATATAGTTTGTTACCAATTTTATTATGTATGTCTTCCATTAAATATTTATATATATCGTTTATAAATATATATTTAAATATTTAAATTAAAAAATAATTAGAATAGTAAAAAAAATATAGTTTCTTTAGTCACGTCCTATTTAAAGGACTTCCGGTATTCTTCCCTGTACATATGTATACTTCGTTAAATCGAGAATCTACTGTGTATTGATAAATGAAATTAGAAGTGAGTAGCGAAATTCGACAGTGGAAACAGCTTGAGAAATTTTTCTAAATACCTGCGACCTGTAATGCGGCAGCCTGTTCAGGGAACCTCCGTAAAATATATCGTCCCTATAAAAAGGCCGCTGCGGATCTTTGCTGAAGGGATTCCGCCTGTTGCCCATTTTCAGCGATTTTTGGCTGCAGTCCGAATCGGCGCGCATTCGCCGACCGCTGATCGTGTGTCGGCGAATCTGCCAACAATTTCCTCTACTTACTTAACCAGGACATACTGTTATTGCGACTAAATGAATCCTGCTGGCAAAGGATTCGCCATAAAACTACCCGCAAATTTCAACCGAGTCATATAACCAATTGTTGATCTCCCTAACACTTAGAATGGAAAAGTTTCGTAGCTTTATTTTCAATAAAAAAAAACAAATAAAATTTTTTCACACAATATTTACGTTCCAATTTTTATTTTCATGTCTTTAATTAAGAATTGTCTCATATACAATATATAAGAATTGTCTCTTATAATATAAGTTATGTAATCTACGAAAAATACGTTTTGCACTAACAATTATAAACGAAAGCACAGAAGTATGATACGTAATTTTGATACGATACGGATAAGTTACAAGTGGACACGTACTATTAGAATAATATGAACGTTTCGTACTCACCGTGGGCACTTTGCCATTCAATCGCTCGACGTCTCCGCCGAGGAGATTGTTCTCCTCCTCAACGGTCTTCTCATCGACGTTCACGTCCAAATCCGAATAGATCGGGACGGACAACCGCTTTTCGGAACTGCTCAGCTTTCTCTCCATAGTCTGCAGTTCCACGTTGTCCTTATGAAGGGAATGCAAGGACTTGGAGACGCTGCAAAGAGACGTTTCTAAAATCAGCTCCTCGAAACCTACCTTCTCGAAGAAAAAATGAAGAGAATAACGAAGCTTGCGATGGAATAGAGATTCAAGCATTACTTTACTATGTTGGGGATGCTTCCAAGTATCTCGGCGGCCGTGGGGTACTCGGTATTATTGTTGGTCCCGAAGAAACCGCTCCTTCCGGGCTGCACGACGCAGTGCAACGAGGCCGTCGACACTCCCGTAGCCATTAAATTGCTCTTCACTTCCAAACCTCCGTTCTCCAGATTGGGCTTCATTTTAATCAGTGTCGGTTTCAATGGACGGAACATAGCGCCGAAAATAGCGCAGTTTAACAGCATCCCTAAAACAATCACAGAAACGCCTCTAATTTTCCCAGCGATTTACCCTCGCGTAACCGTTCGCTGTCGCGTTACCTGCTTGGAAGAGCAACGCGCCTCTCCAACCGAATTGTTTGATCAGCAAGTCTGAGATTGGCGCCAGCATGAAGGCGCCGATCCCGGACCCGCAAACGGCGATCCCGGTTGCTAGCGCTCGCCATCTTTCAAAATAAAATCCGGTAGTTATCACAGCCGGCACGTAAATCAGGCCCGCACCGATACCTCCTAACAATGCAAGACACAAATACAACGTGAAATGGGAGACCGAATGCTGTTCTGTAGCAGAGTTTCTTTCTTCGATTTAAAGATATTTTTTTCTTAACACTGGGATATGTTTAACCAAAGTAATTCTTAGTTTTATTATTATTGAATTAGAAATATCAAAAATAAAATACGTATTATTACTTTTAAAAGTAAAACAAATTTCTATCTAAATCGACATCATATTGTTTTATATAGAAATCCGCAGTCTGTTAGTAATGTGAACTGCATTTGTTGAATGCGAAACTCACCGAGCACGCCGTAGGATATGTAGAGGAACTCGATGGAAGTGCTGAAGTACGAAAGAACGAAAGCGCCACAACTTATCACGCTTCCGAGAATCGCGACAAGCCGGAAACCGTACCTGTTGGCCAAAGCTGAGACGAATGGACCTGTAAAAATCGTCTCGTTATCATTAAATGGTTGGAAGAAGTTTGATAGAAACACGAAACGAAAAATCACTCCATTTAACTGTCAATAGTATAACTAGGCTCGATTTATAGAAAAATTGCATGTACAGAATGAATGCAAATATGTCAGATATCAAAATCAAAAAACTGTACATATATCACATTTCTTAAATCATGAAAATAATGATCTAAAACACATGATATTTTATTCTATTTAAAAATCCGCAGTCTAAATATAGACGATTTACGAAGATATTAATAAAACGTGAAGAGATATTAAATATATGCGTCAAACGATTTACATTTGTCACTGACCAGCCATAAGATAGAATCCGGATTGCAACGAGCCGACCAGAGCTACTCTCGCTTTAGACACGCCGAAGCCCTCGGAAATGTCGTTCAGAAAGACACCGAAGCTGAAGATTATGCCATCGACGAATAGGTTGCACATAAAAGAAGCCGCGACGATCACCCAACCCCATCCACCATCAGGAGGTACCACCATCTCCACCTCGATGCTCTGTCAACACAGTAAATCTCATAATTCTGACATTTCCTTCGATTGGAATTGTAATTCATATAACACAAATAACAAATTCTGAGTGAAGAAAAATGGTTATTAAAAAAAAAGTATGATAGTTATTGATGAACATGAATTTTAATCAAATGCGAGAATAAATAATAATATCTTAAGAAAATCGCAAAGACAGACGAAAAGATGTTGGAAAATAAGTTTTGGGAATGAATGGTATTTCGAAGTTAGAGCAAAACGGAGGTAAGAAGGCGGAACAATCGCGTTCGTCGATGGGCGACGCGATGCGCCGCGTCAGTATCGGACCATGGAAATTCACAAGGTGCTCGAGATCAAGGCTAAAAGAACGGCGAAGCATCGGCAAAGTTTTCGCATTTCGCTGGACCGCGCGTGACCCAAAACTCGGGCGTGTTATCAGTCAGTGGCGACGCGACGCTGATACAGATTTCACTCCACCCGGGTGGAATCGTATGAGTTACATGCTATTATGAGTAGTATTTTTAGCCCTTGCAACGATATCGGTAATCTCTTTAAAGTTGAAGTAACACGTTTCGCAAGTCAAGCTAACAGGCGCCATGCCGGTATATGATATTACGTGCAACAATACGAATATAATAGAATGTAATATCCAGTAAAATATATAATGTACAGTCTAATATAAGTAATATCTGTAAAACAGAACAGTTTGCTCTCACTGCTAAATATTCATTAAAAAAAAAATGTAACTACATTACACAAAGTAGTCTCGTGATCATTATCAGTTAACATTGATCAATTCAGAACCGATCACGCCTCTTTCATTTACATATCGACATACAGGCTGAATCAATAACGAATATAAAAATACGAAAAGTGAATATTTGTTGAAATACAAGGATTAACTCACTTGAGAAACTGTATAAAACAAAACGATCCATATAATGAACTATTGAAATATTTTGAAATTCATGTTATACAGAAATAAGTAAAGCATTTTAGATAGTGTCTTACTTCGTTATTATTGTCTTGAACGTCTTCGAGTTGCAGCTGCTCCTCGTTCTTGGGACCGGTCCCATTTTGTATCGGTGCCTTCGCGGCTTGATCGTCTGTCTTATTCCCCATCGACGCCATCGTCATCCACGGTTGACTGAAACAGAACCAAGTGAAAATTGAAATCGCGACGGAGGCGTGCGATTCGTATTAATTGTCGACCATCGCGCCCGTTTCCATTAAATACCGTGCCTCAATCCGTGCCCCGACACGTCATTACTTGCATAAATACGTGTCATTATCATACCTATAAATTATCCGCGTGCTCACCGTGCCAGAGAGGCGGGAAAGGAACCTGGCGACTAACTGTTCCGCCCCGTGAAATTAAAACCGAATGAAATTAAAAATACTTGGCGCGAGGAGAGATGGAAAAAAAAAATCCGATTGCTACAATCGAAGTAGATAAAAGGAGACTGAATAAACCAGTCGATTGATGAATGGGAAGAGTGTCTAACTTTCAGAGTAATCAACTGTTGCTGTTTGCCAGCGAACGGTTTATTGAATCCTTGCTGGAGAACGTGCTACTGTTGAGCTGTCCGCAATGAATCATATTAGATATTGTACCCTGTTTGCAGAGTGTATCACGAAGAAGATGATAAATCAATAAGAATGGGAGAATATCTTTGAATAAAAAAAACGACTGGCATAAAGTAGGCCAAGGGCGATACCACTTAAGAGATTGTTTAAAAAAAGAAACGTGGAGCCAACTTACTTTGAGTCAATGAAAGAAATACTTTGAAATATGTCGAATGTACTGTACACTTCGGACTTCGTTCGGCGTGGAACGAAGTCGACTAAGGATGAAGTTAGCCCTCAAATAATTTCTCACACGACTGATTAGGCCGCATTTACGAAGTACAGTCCCACGAGCAAAGAAGCAATCATACTCGTTGAATCGCCGATTCGAAACGATAGTTCGCGTCACGTGCCGATCGTGACCGGCCTTGACCTTTCTCAATGCCCCTAGACGACCTTCAGCTTAGAACGCTGACTGGTCCCTTCGTATCTCATCTCTTTAATCTCTCATTAATTCTCATTGCTTACCGCTTCCATGCACACAACACCAAAATAATAGACAAGAATGTTTATGCAATAATAAACGTGTTAGGAAACGCACATATAAGAAACACGTACCGATTCGATAATTATAGCACAAGTGACAGGTGAAACAACATGGAATCTCACCTGCTACGAATAAATGATCACGTTAAACACTCTAAAAACTCTCCGACCAAAGTGATCCTATAGAAGCGACGAGAGACAATTGAATGGTCGGGGAAAAGTTCTCGTTCTAATAAAAAAAGCTTTGTATCTGGCAGTTTGTAAATCAACGATAAGATACGACCTATGTCAACCGATTTCACGCCGGCCTTTGCATATCAAACGAGAACGCGTCTCTATCGAAAGCGATGAGGAAACATCGTTGCACTTACTGTTTACCGTGAGCTAAGGTTGCTCGTTCGTTACGAGACGGCCACAAATCTTCCCTGACGTTATAACACCGAAGGGGAGCAAAATTTTAACGGCGAGCAAACGGCAGACGAATAATATTTTCTTTGAGTTTATCTGAGCCAGTAGTCAGACTTCCTAAATTTACCGACAAACGAATATAATTATCTCGACGTGGCGGCTTCCTAAACATACCAGTGTCGGGAGTTATCGTGTCTCGTTGACGCATTCTAGATTCATTGGGAAAATAATTATTATCGCGCTCGCCTATGTCCCTTGGAGTGGAAATTATCGTCGGTGACGCTCGTTCCGACACACCAATTTTGCTAGATTATTATTTTTGTTTGAGTGAACGACGATTATCAGATACGGGCAATCATTCTTGCCGATTGCTCAAGATTTAATCAATCTTGTTTGCTTTGCACTGTTTATCAATAGGATTACTACTAGGATTAGCTTGGATATCGTCGCGGGATTGAGAATAATAAAGAATACGGTAGCTTAATTAAACAAGTACATTTCAAACAATTTCTCTCAAAAGATAATATTTTCTTATTCTGGCAATAATCTCGGTTAAATAATAAGAGAATAATAAAAATAATAAATTATGTACTTTTGATAGAGGCAACGGGTAGTAAAGAAAGGCTGTTCTTAAATCAGAAACTGCTTAGGGTCAACGTCTTCACTACTTGACCCTTTTGATCACCGCGTTGATACAGCGCAAGGTCGCGGGGCGGTTATAAATAAGTGCGAATGGCTAATCGGTCACGATCTGACTAGAACAGGACAAAGAACGAAGTGGAGAGGAGAAGATATTTCGAAACGCTGGTTGATAGTAATAGTAAATGGTTCAGGTCCACGCGCAGGGACGTCATCGCCATCAGCCACGGTGAAGCCATATATTGTTGTACGGTTTGACGAGTATTGTGCAAACAGGATTGTGTAAACTTCAACTGGTTGATAAGGGGCGCGCTTATTTTTAGTAAATCGCGGTTAACACGCTCGCCTCGCAGCTTCCTATGGACTTTCAAATCGATCCAAACTCTACCGCGATATCGTAACGTCATTCATCGTATTCGATTTTTCAGAAAATTCATTTTGCTTCTTATACCTGTGAGTTTCAATCTCCGCTGTTTTATAAATTTAATAGGTAATACAAGAATCGTACGAAATCTGATATTTCCCTTTCGATCTGATTAAAATTCGAGATTCAGATATGAAAAAATTGTATTCCAGATAAACGGACTGAAAACCGAGGCAAAAGAAGTAGCGTTGAAATTTTATCTCTCGTTTCAAGATGCTTCCAGCAATTTTTAGCTGCAAGCCGGAAACGCGGACGCGCGTAACGATATATCTACGCGACGTCTAACAAGTGAGTCGTTTTCCCGAAATAATCCCCGGCCATAGGGCGGGAGCAGAGCTAAAGTGTAATAATAGCCGTATGGAAATGAGGTCCGTCGGAAAAATTCGTAAACAGGCGAGGAATAGCGATCGGCAATCGTTGCTCCAGAAAACCAGAAGAAGGAGCAATTATCAGTGGAAAACGAGCAGATAACTGTTATCGCGTTGCACTGGAATACAATGCGGCATCCCGCCGTCGCGGTACGGGCGTTCCCTCGAGAATTCATTTTTTGGCTCGATACCAAACGCGTCACTCAGTTTCTTTCTCTTTCACCGTCGATTCACTCGCTTCGTCTTCGTAAATAACGAAACGCGATAACGGGACGAGGGGGGCGCGAGACTAGCCGCGAAACGTTCCCGTTTTGCTTCACAACACCTTTATCGCGGCAGCTGTAAGCGGGAGCTTTTGATCATCGCCCATGTCATGTGCCATTCATCAATCTCCTCGAAACTAGGAAAGGAAGATGAAGTACATGTCGAAGAATCGAATTTTTACTGTTTAATCAATGGTTCACGATAGTTGCAAAAAAACGAATTATGAGGAAGAGAGAGAGAGTTAAGACATAGTTTCCAAGAAGTGTCTACTTCCTTGTGAAACTTTTCCAATCAATGTTTCAGGTCAATAGGAATTTTGTTGTTCCTCTTATTGTTCATAGCAAGTGGCTAAAAATAATTGAAATATTGTTTACGAGTTTATTTCAAATGATAATCGTCCATTCTGTTGATGTTGAACTCAATCAATAATTATCCCCCAAGAATACTCGAGTTTAAGAAAACGATTGTCCCCCGCTCCGGATTTCTCCGCGAGTTAATTCGTGAAACCTATAGTTTTGGTTTTATATTTTATTACAACCGAATATACTCAGAATACTTTACTCTCGATTTATTATACATAAATATTATATTTGTATAATAATATCATTTGAATAAAAAAAGATTTAATGTATGTATGTATGTATGTATCGATTATTCTCATTTCTAATCCATGCGTTAAAGGATTAAGAAATCTCTCTTGATTCAACAGTTACTTCTTGTCTATCGAAAAATAGCAAATTTTTATGGATTAATCTGTATAAACTATGATTTGAATGCATGTATACAATATGAGATGTACAGAATACAAAGGACGCATGTAAAGTGCAAGAAAATCGTTGTTTTCTGATAGATAAGAGAAATTTTGATTCGGATTTCATTTTTTTAATTGACATCACCAATGTTTCATTTTGCATAAAATTCTACGGTCTACTTATGTATCATCGTATCCTTCGAAGCAGCTGCGTCGTCGGCACTCATCGCGTCTTCTTGGAAACGCCACGGAAACAAACTATTCGTTTTGATGGCGGGAAAGAAGACCTCGTTAAGGAGAACTCGTTCAACTCGATTTAACCGGCGTATTGAGCCTAATTGGAAAATTGTCAGGTTTTCAATTGAATTTTCATGCTTTAATTGATGCCCGACCAGTGTACCTATTTACAAAACAGGATGCTCCTACCGAGCGAGATCGCTTAGGGAATATTTATAGATTCCACCGTATTTTTCCATTACATTGAGACTGGATCCAGGGATTCCGATGACCGACCAAATAGTCAATTATAGTTTACGCGTTCGCAGCATTTCAAGCGTATAAAACGCTTTTGGCAGATCGTTCAGAATTATTTAATTTCGTAATCAGATAAATAATTCCACGTATGTGAATCTTTAGCACTTGGAATAATAGTCGAATGGAAAATTGTTGCGCGCGGGCTGATATCGCGTATAAATATTGAAACGAGTGTACTCGAGGATTGGAATACATGGATCGGCTTCTTGGCCCATTAATCAAGCATCAACGCACAAATGTTTGCACGTCCCGACGTATGAAAATAACCGTAATAACGACCAGGCTCATTACTGTAAACGATAAAAAAAAGAGGTCTTACCGTGATCATTTATCTTCAGGAATTTACTAAATACGAGATTATTATCGACTTGCTTCTGTATCTGGGCTATCGATGAAAAACAAATTGGACCTATTATGGATATTGGTAAAATTTTGAAATCTAAAAGATCTAATGTCCCAACTATAATCGAAAGCCTCTAGCAATTTGATAAATACTTGAAACTCATTTCTTCAAACGAGAAACTTGAAGTGGTCTCTTCAGATCCAATTAATCATCAAATTAAAAACAGCTTTATCGAATAGAACGCTTATCGACTAGCTAATCATCAAAATACTTCAGGTTGTTACAACGCTACACTTTTTTATCTAATTTATCTAATCGGACTGCTGAAAACGTGATTACCATATTAGGTATTGAGATCTATTCTCTTTTCGTTGGTGGACTCGATGATAGTACGACTACAATCTGATCTGTTACCCAACTGTTCTAAAGGGGGTCAATCAGCAGAAAACCGATCGGCTGATATGTTCAAATTCCGACTCATCGGGTTTTCGAGTGTCCTTTGAAAAAGTAGCTGAAATCGAAAAATGGCGAACGGCCGTGCCCTTATTGAATTCTTTCGCCGGCCCTTGTTGCTCCTCTCGAGGAATTGATTAGGGCGAACCTTCCATTCACTCGAACCGTGAATGAACCGTGCGTTGAATAGACGCCGGTCACAATGAACAATCCTACGCGTGCAGTAGTACGGATCAAGCGGTGGCTCATACTTCATATAATGCTATTCGTAAGAACAAAGTTGTGATACTTGAGATGCATTATTTATTTGCTAAAAATAGTGGAACAGTTAATCGGAAACGTAACTAGTACTAATTCATTCTCATTATCATTACTATTCTATTAGCAAATGTAATTACTAAAGCGCAATAAGTACCTAACTGTATTAACATCTACTTAATTCACCTATTTACTGAATTTGAATTAATGAAATCTACATAGTGTATTTTAAGTATCTTAAGACTTTTATAAATGAATCTATCTACTTGAGGAATGAAACGAAAAATGTTTGAATCAATAACGAAGCGTCAGTTCTAATCTCAGATAACGAAAATTCAAACATAAAATTAGGAATTCAAGAATTCTTTCATTAAAATCGCACTCTACCTACAGATCAGCTGACCAACGGGCAATCTCTCGGAGGCCACGTGTCGGGGCCGAAGTTCAATAAAACTTATCTATCGATTTGCTGCTGCAGTATATTTATTTACCAACAATCGCGAGGCGACAGTGAATCGGTGCTTCGCGGCGACAAGCGTTTCAAAAATAGCCGTGATGCGGGCCAATAAACCCTGCCGCGGCCGGGTCACTCGACCCACCCTCGTCTCGCTATCGCAGCTTCCCTTCCGTACATTCCAAGAGTTTCCCTTGAACCAACAGAAATGCCAGTATTTTTTTATGAGCCAGCTGTGTCACGTGACCATATATTTCTTGGATGTTTTCCCATTTTCTTTAAAAGAACCATCAGTGCAGTACAATCATTACATAAGCCGTAACAACACTTCTCACTGTTTCCAGTAGTATGTTTGTACTAAATGATACAGAGATAACAATATAATTAATCCTACTTGTAAAGTTTGCAGGCCCGTAAAAGACTAATTCTAATCGTTCGTAGGCTCGTCTTTGAGCAACGGTAATTAATATTAACGTTCTACGCTGCTACTCGTAGCTCCGTTTAATGCGTCACGAGGACACGTACGTTAATTATTGTACAGGTTTTTCATCCGCTCCCGTGGGTAGGGAAAGGCCGCGACGTAGGTACTCGGCCGGCGACGACGGTTCGATCGATTTTGAAATTTTCCGACGCCGCAAGTCCGACGGAGAGCCAGAGAACATCCGTTCGGTTTTGTCGCCTCAAATCGAATCGATAAGGATGCAGATAGGGGAACCGATGGACAAATTAACGGCAGGGAATTTCCATACGCGCGAGTGTGTACAGAGAACTAGCAAGGTCGATCCGCCGACAGAAAGGCCCCCATTACTGATTCGAAATTAATATTCCGATCGTCTCGGTCGACTTACGCACGCATGTGCCTGTGCCGCGGCGGTCGCGCGCGCCTATCTCGCGTGCCTCGTATGGAAATTTCAGAAACGACGATGTTTCGTGAACGAGCGTCATCGTTAAGCGTCGATAAACGAGCAACTTTGCGCTGGATCAAACCGGGCGAAAAAAATAGATGCGTTAAGCGCCTCGTCGATAGTCTAATTATGGAATCGCCTCGTGATAAGCGGGAAAATAAATGCGCGCGTGTACGATAGGAGATAAGTATGTGTATGCAGTAATTTAAAATATTGATTCATTTATATATAAAATATCACGTCGTGAATCATTCAATCATGTATAACATTGTATCGGAAGTGCGGATTAGAACTTGAAGATTTAACTACGTCGTTCTGCAAAATGTTTTATTGTGCTCACACTTTTCCATCCCCGCAGTTGGGGTGAGCGAGGATCGAAACGAACGCACGTGTTGTCACGAGCACGTGCAAAGGGGAGCTACGCATGCGCTCACCTCGAGGCGGGAAGTGCGCGTGAGCGTTTGTGAATATGAAACACGCGTGGCGGCACACGCGTGCCTCTACACGCGGCTTCTCATCTCGTACGAGGCACAGACACAGGCACACGTTCTGTGTACGTACTATCTACGCACGTATGTAGACCGCGACGGAAGCCGAACGCGATAAGGTCGAATGATTACCTTTTTTTGTGAAGCCACTGTCACCGCCCGACGAAATTCTACGCTCGGATCACCAGAAGTAAACGGAGACTGGAGCGTAACGCGCGCGTGTTCCTGGCCGGTTAGGTGCGCGTATACTACTAAGACGATACGCGCGATGTGCTCGAGTGTAAACCAGCGGAGCGCGATGAACGTGTCCCGTCGGGTGTGCACGGCTTCCATCGGTCACCGATAACGACCGAATGCCAGATTGGTCCGCCTCGAGGCTCGGAGGATCTGTATCGTTGGACACACGCTTGTCGGAATCGCAACGTCCGGTCGTCGGACGATCTCGCGCCGCGGAGCCGCTAAGCGTGACGCAACGAGCGTAGAAATCCGCGGCTAAACGGAATCCGAAGGTTCGCCAGGAAACGTCCCGTCGTCGGTCGTCCTTCGCGGAAGAACACGCGCGAGGATCAACAGGACGATCATCTTGAGATGATACCGATAACGAGTGTGAAAAGCCACGACCTTGTGAGATTATAAAACTATCACTGCTCGGCGGTAAGAGCAAATCCGGACGGAGTCTTTAAATCCATTGCGCGACTGATCCGTATTGAGTGATAATCGAAGCGCGTTCGCGAAGGGTAGATATCGCCAGCTGATAGTCCAATCGCAACTACGCGGCGGCAACATGTTGCTCGAGCGAGTCTCGAGTAGCAATCGGCGATCATCGATGCGCGTCGAAACGAGACGGCCGTGGTGTACACCACCCTTCGCCCACGGATCGAACAGCGATCGCAACTAATCGTTAAATGCGCATTACAACGCGTTGCAGTTTTGTCCGTCGAACGCTGCCGCGAGTACTCGCCGAGAAACACTCCAATAGACGAACCGTTTCGGTCAAAAGACTGTGCGTCAATCGGTTTTCAATCTGCGGATAACGATGATGTAGAGAATTGAAGAAATGGATTACCGTCGAGGTAACCCGGACGCAGGTGTTCGCCGATAGTGGATCCGATCGAATTATACGCGTGCTTATCCCGCACGTTCCGCGACTACGGTGCTGAATGATTTATCTACTAAATAGGAACGATTAAATCGCCGAGAATATGCTAATCGAGCATAGCATAAATACAACGTGCTACCGGAATGTTCGAACGCGTTCCTAAACGTGTCTCGCGGCTGCTATTTGCGTATTTGTGGGACATGCTCGTTCAACGAAAGTGGGCTAAACTCTTAGATACTTTGTTAATTAGTAAGTCGTGTAAGAAAAAGAGAGAGATTGAACAGGTTCGCGTATGTAAATACTATTTCAGTGCTATGGTGAAACGCTAGAGAAAATGAACTCATGCACGACTGCCAAGAAGTGATGGCACGTGTAGGAACGGAGTCCCATGAAGAAAAACAGGCATTGTTCTTTCTCTTTGCTCGATGCCGCATTCGTTTCGTCTGAGAATACGTTCGTTCGTTCGTTGACCTAACTCATTTGCAAACTAGGATTTCAATCACTGTTCTCTCAGGAATTCGTTTTTGTTTTTCATTGATGTCACGTAGTCGTTATGACGATTCGCAGTAATAATTTTACTTTGTTGGTAATATCACTCCGTGAAAAGTTTAAGTCACATCGAAAACCACTCACGTATGCGTCATGATCGTCACCAAGAATGCATCGATGTCACAGTCGAACAGTTCGCAGCTTGTTGTCCGCTTCACCTGAAGAAGAAGGGAACAGACCGAAGGGACGAACGCCATGAAGAATTCGCGAAGGAAAAAAGCGACGGAGGGTGTAGGATTCGCGGTAGTGAACTGTTAAACCTAATTGAAAGAGAGCACAAGAGAATCGCGGTAAAACAACGAGCCACTTGCAATTCTCGCGCGACTGAAAGACGGACTTCTGCTCGATTTCCTGTGCTTCGTCCCCTCCTGCTGCACCGCTCGGTGCTTAGAATCGAAAGTGCAAGTTTACTTAAGGTAGGTCGCGCCAAGAATATACGCCTATCGTCGCGACGAATTCCCATTTCGTTCGTACGCACGTCGCAGAAGAGCGGTGGAAATGTAACGAGATCATCCCGAGTAGATCATCTCTCGCGGATAGTTAACACGAGTTATACCAGTTCTGTTACTTCGTTTTAAAGATTAAATGAACGCGCCGAAACTTAGACCTACAGAGTGTCCCAGAAAAAGTGTTAGAGCCGAAAAGGGGTGATTTTGGAGATGTTTCTGAATAATAATTTCATTTGGTAAAATGCAAAGTGAGCCATGGTTTTTGAATTATTAACGAAAACCACTGAGCAATGAGAGACGCGTAAGGCCCGCGTTCAGCCACGGGTTGGCTCGGATCGTGACGCTCGGACGTTGCATAGTGCGGGCCTTACACGCGCTCTTATTAGTCAGTGTTTTTCGTTAATAATTCAAAAACCATGCCTCACTTTGCATTTTGGCAAAGGAAATTGTTGTTCAAAAAGACTTGCAGAATCACCTCCCGGCTCTGACACTTTCTCTGGCACATCCTGTATACGTGAAAGAATCTCGAATGATACAGCACTTCTTCCGTACTTTGGAAAGGAATGTCATGTGTTAGAACATAAATTGGCCGGAAATATTCCGACGCTGTAAAGTGCGAATCGATCTCGAAGCAGAACAGGAGAGGAAAATTCGGGGGGATGCACGTTATGAATAAATAAAAAATTCACGCAAATTTTTCAGTAATAAAAATTCATAATTCCTCTTCAATTTCAATAAACGTCACCTAATACATTTGTCCTTCTTTTGTACCACAGCATATATACTTCGCTTTTTTTTATACGTTTCCTTTTTTAAACATATGCACAGAATTAATTCGTGCGCACGCATATGTGTACGTATTGAAACGCTTGTATATATCATATATGTATACATATATATATAATATACATATATATATATAAATATACGCATGGCATGTATGCCTCTATTATGCACACGCGACGTAACACATGCTTCGTGTAACACTCTACTACAAGTTCCGCCTTCGGTTTCCACCTAAACATACATACTTACATACGAAACATGCGCATGCAAAGTGTCACATGGACACGCGCGTCGATAATTATTTATATTCATTTTTTAGACAGGTGCGTGTGGGGGTGGTAGCAAATGTATTTAATCATGGAACCCATTCGCCGCTGAGTCGACGACACGATGGGATGCGCGCGTGCACACGTGCACTCTAATTCGTTTTTTTTTTTCATTTTCTTTTTCTCTCAATAGCATGTATACATTATATTCCGATTCAAACCACATAAAACACGACCTCCTGCACGACAATCGGTCAGAATAAAAATAAGTGTCGTAGTAATTGTACTAATTAATACGGTGTAATAGTAAATAGTAATGATAATAATGATAGCGGTGGTAGCAGTGATGATAATAGCACTGTTGGTATATATATACGTATATATATATATATATATTTGTTCTCCTTTTCTGCATCGATAGCAACGATTCTATTCTGCTATCTTCCGCTTTTTCTTTTCATCTTTTCGATCTTACTCGCATGTGAATCTAGTAACCGATTTACCAATAATAATAGTCGTATATACAATGTACATACAATTGTAACATTCGTTATATGCCGTTTAACAAGATTTACAATTAGTTCCTTTCCGTTTCATTATATGTATATATTCTAAGTATAGATATATGAATCTATGTTAACAGTACATAGATTTATATATTTATGTCGATAGGCATGTATGCATACGTAAATAAAAATTACTATGTATGTGTACAGATATATATAATTGAATAAGTCTACGCGCGACATATTTAATTAATTACTTACATGGTGAAATCAATTTTACGCCCGGCTATGCATCATCGTGCAATTAGTCGAGAATTAGTTTGTGTTATCTTGCATGCCTACTCTTTGCCACCATAATTTCCCCGACAGGTAATTAAATGATTATTTTATACAAGCTAGATCAGACGAGACGTTTTCTTTATACATACATTCATTTATCCGTGAAATAAACGTTCTAGCTGAATCGTCGATATATTAATCTTAATTTCTTTACTTAATCTCTATCTAACAGCGTGTTAATTGTTTATATTAGTTCAATATATTAATACAGAGAGACCTATCTTGGCGAGGTCTCGTAAACAGAAATCACTTTTTCCTTTATTCGCCTAATTCCTCAAAAATTCGTTATACACTATTTTACAATTGCCTATATAATTTATTTACAGGTCATTCCGCAGAGCGGCGAGTCTACCCTCGTGTCATCTAATTCACATTCTCCCATCTATATAATATTGTGTGTAGATACATGCATGTACATATATACACACACACGCACATTCTTTCCTGTATGCAAGAAAAATAGCTCTCTGAATGTGATTCAATTGGAATTGTATCATCTTTGGATCGCGACCAAAAATAGATTTAAGTAACAAGTTATAGGTGGGGGTGTTCTCGATTAAGGATGGTCGATCGTAAGACATTGGTCGCGCGTGCGACTTTCAAGAATCGGATTTAACGCTAACGGTACGCGCTAACATAAATAATGTAAGAAATACACACGGTGAACGTTTCTTCTTTCCTTTTTCTTTTTTACTCCGTTTCGTTGTTTCCGACATGTAAATATAGTAGCTCAAAAATATAGCACAAATATATTCAAAATTAAGTCTCCTTAAAAAGTACTATGTATAACAAAGGTAAAAGAGAGCCAGTCACAAAAATTGGGATTGACCATCCTTATTCTAAATCATAACTTTTATCACCGACGATGATCTTCCACGATTAGTCGATATGCAAGGTGCAAAAGCATTTTTTCATATTATTTCAGTATTTCTTTTTTCTTTTTTTATTCTTTTTATACTGATTAATCTATACTGATTAAGTTAATAAATTTTTCTAACTATCATCTACTATTGACATAGGCAAATGAAGTCCTCCACCTGATGGCATTTTTTACATCTCCACGTACATGTGTATATATATATATAATATTTATATTTATATATTAATTTCATAAAAAAAATTAGATACAATTGCAAAAAGGTCTAAGTACGTCAAAAATACCATCAGGTCGTACTCATTAATTTGTGCTTTTTAACCATTAAAATGTATAAAGAAGAAGTACCTTTGTCAGACATTCTCGAAGCAGCAGCCCTATCACAGTGTGGCTCGGAGGTGAAGGCTAATTTTCTCTCCCTACGCGGACCAGACTTTTTATAATACGGACTCTATTTGCTTAATTTCCTTCTCCGGTGGTTCTTGCGGTGATGGCGCAGTTTCCACGATTTCAGGAATATCCTCTTCGTTTTCTTCCTCGACATCCTCGTCAATCGGAGTCAGCGTATCTAATATCACAGGCTGAGTCTGTAACAGATATGATTTGCCCCCTCGTCACATCGGGATACAATTTCCAACGAGTAATAAATACGTTCCACGATGATTACCTGCGGCGTTGTGCACCGTTTCATCGCCGGCGCCATGAAACTGGTAATCGTGCTTATGAAAAAGAAAAATCCTGCCATGAAAAACGGGATGCTGTAGCTTTGCGTAGCATCGTAAACGGCGCCTGCCAAAGGAGATCCAATGATCGCAGCCGCTCCCCTGAATAAGATTAAAAGGCCAAACGCGCTGGTCAATTTATCCAGTCCCAACAGATCCACCAAAATGATCGACGTCAAGGAAATGTACCCGGCTGAAATGTCAAGTAAAACGAACGTTCATACGACCTACAAGATTACCAGATCGGCGATGGTATTTATTACTTGACCACTCACATATAGCTATGCCGAAAAGAATACTCGTAATGATATAAGCAGGATAAGAATGGCAAAACGGAATCGCAGCTACTGCAACTGTCGATATAATTAAACAGATATTATTCAAAAGTAGCGAGTCTACTTGTGGGAAATCTGCAATGTATCCACAAGCAACGCGACCCAGGGTATTCGTAATTCCAATTATAGATACTAAGTACGACGCAAGAGTCTTGTCAATATCCTAAAAATGACATACATTAAAAAAGCCGATCATACGATGATTATTCCGTAAAGATATGCATACATTAATGTGGCGACTTACATCTAAAACTGCAGCGTCTAGTAAGTACACAAATGGAACATACAATCCTGCCATTCCGAAAACGTTACTAATACCAATCAAAAGAAATACTGGATCCTTCAATAGAGACACGTCCATCATTGTTCCTAAAACCTCTTTAAATGAATCAGGTAACACCAAGCAAGGGCATAGAGGTTCTGAAATGATCAATTTCGTTTAACAAATATTCAATTGTTCATACAATATTCTACACCAATTTCTGAAAAACCACTCACGCTGAGGTGCTTTCTCAATGTCGGTGTCTTTCATGTCCCCACGCACAGATTTTGATAAAGATATAACACTCTGACGATAATTTGCAAGTGATTTTTGGCTCTGGTATTCTGGTAAGTTAATAACACTTCCACTGTAAAAAATATCCTTTCTCGATAGTGGCCGAATTATTTGTGGTTTCTCCTTTGGGATACTAGACTTGCTCGTCGTAAAAGTGATACTTTCGCCATCCTGCAAAGTCGTTAATAATATCAATAACCGTGTAGCTCTTTTTCAATCGTGTATGTATTTAATAATTTCTAATAGAATACATACATCCACCTCTGCGTTATTATTTCGCGAGCCCATGACGCTGCTTGTCGAAAGTCTCAAGTGTAAGCTCTTCCTGATATCGCCATTAGAATTCAACGCTGTCCTTGAGTTTTTGATCGCACTAAGGCTAGGCTTGTACCTTTCGCCAGTGCTAGTCTTGCGAATTCTGTCGAAGAAGGGTACAGAACCATTCTTAGGTAAACCTTGGACATGCGTTGTAAAAGCTGGTTGCGAAGCGTTTCTCGGCATTATCGGCTTGAACTCGCTCTCAGACTTTTCCGTCATATCCTTCCCGTCTTTGGTATCGTCGATATTCTTCCTGCTCTTCGGCTTCGAGGAGATATTCTTCAAGTCCATGCTGCCACTATTACTAGTCGTCCCGCTGGAGTGTTCTTGCACTTTAACTTCGGATATAGTGGGGAGGGTTGGCACCGTCGGAACTGGCGTTAAAGGAGTTCCTTTTAAAATTATATAATCGAATGAAGTACATGGTGAAATGCTACGATGATCAATGACACGTTCGAAGTTCGCTACTCTTACCAGGCACTAATTGGTCTAAATTGAAACTGGAGTGAACGCCAGGATCAATGTTAATAGGCATCTTCATTCTCTTCTCCATGGTTCCATCAGGCAGTTGTACCATGAAGTAAGAGCCCCCGATACTACCGCGTTCCATTTGGAACCTTTTCTCCTCCGCCATTCTTTGTAACAACGGTTTCACCGAGGAAGCCTTCGGATATTCCAACGGCCTCATCATCGCGCCGAATACCTATAATTTGCCTATTGTTATCACAAAATGTACAATCTGCGCTCCGCACGCGTGCAAACCATCTGTAAGTGAACTTACAGCGCAATTTAAAATAAGGCCAGCAAGAATTAAATTAGCTCCCTTCCAATTATAAGATTCTAATAACATAGTCGCAAGAGGCGCAAATGCAAATGTTCCAAATCCTGAACCGCAAACAGCGATGCCTGTAGCTAGAGATCTCTTGGTTTCAAAATAATAGCCTACGCAAACTACTGCTGGTAAATATATTAGACCAAACCCAATTCCTGTAATGCGAAACGCGATCATTATGACGTGCTCAGGACATGAAAAAACAAATCATGTATGTTCAACATACCTCCCATGACACCGTAGGTGATCATAAGCATATTTACACTGGTGGAAAATGTTGAAAGTACAAATGCCGCCGCACCTAAAAAACTTCCCGCCATGCAAACGGCTCTACACCCGTACTTGTTCGTTAAAGCACTGACAATAGGACCTAGCGGAGAACAATAAACATTTTTTCAATTAACATATCAAGGGGATTTAAAAGGGATGTACCTTGTGGCGAAGGAACTCACCAGCACTGAGGTACATGCCAGATAACAGTGACCCGACCCATGCAGTTTTTCCTTTTCCTTCCCCGAAATACGTAACAAACTCTCCGAGGAAAACGCCGAACGTATAAGCGATACCGTCCACTATCATGTTACACATGAATGAAGCGAACACCACCACCCAACCGTAACCCCCGTCAGGTGGTGGCGGTATGTCATGGTATTCGCATAACGAGCCCCCTTCATCTTCTGGAGACGCTTCGTCACTGACTCCATCGGCGCTAGTTAATCTCGCATGCTCTTCGACAGAATATTCGCTTTCCGTCTGTGAAAAAATATTTCAGTGATTAAGACAAGGGGTAGCATTGCTTTGTGCAAGAAGGAAAAAGAAACATGAGCTCGATGTGAAATAATAATACGCCTGTACTCTAGAAGATTTGAATGAACTACATATTAAACATGTTGCATTTGTAACATTGATAGTTGCGTTTGCCTTGAGTAAACTAGAGGCAGTTCACCTTGAGCACTACGATAAAAAGCTTCCTTTCATGCCAACGCATAAATGCATAGATACATCTATGATCTTTCTACGATTACAAAGAATTGATGAACAAATTGTTTACTAGCAATTCTGATAGATTTCAGAAGATCACACATTAGCTGGATTATCCTTAATGCTTTTTTTTATTCAGATGAATAAGTTCCCTTAACAGGAATTAAAAAATTTCATGAAATTAAACGAATTGCTATTAAGAGCGATGTTGCGGAACATGTGCCTCGAGCGTAACGTGAGAACGGACGACCGGGCTGTATTATAAGATGATCTCATAACGCAAACGTAAGCATAGATATTATATGGCTACTGTGACTTAACCGGTCCCTAAGGCTACACTTATCCAAAGTAAGATAGCATTTCCACTGGATCTAATAAACCAAAAGCGATATTGATCACGCGAGCAAAACGACCGAATTCCATCAAATTTCTGCCGTACAGGAACTTCGCCTATGTAATACCTTTTTCTTAAATGCAATTAATTTAGAAAGACATATTTTCCAGGTTTTCGGATGCGAACGGTACCCGTTTCGCAGAAACAAAACGCATTGTTCCGTGCAATGACCTCGAGTGCCGACGAGTCAAACGAATTAAAATGTTGCAACTCCGTTTAGTACAGACCTAGAAACGCATTCTTTACGATTCTGAGAAAATTTCAAAATTATTTCGCATCAATTTTGAAACAGCCGTCACTCAGTTTGACGTCGGCCAATTGTCAATTTGTCAATTAATTAAAACGTTACTCCCGCATTGTTCCGACACAGTTACCCAGTTCGTTTCACAACTGGCTCGTAAATGAGGTGCTACATACTGGGTCTGTGCTAAATGCAACACGTACGAGGTTTATACTATAAACGCATAGGCGAGCTCGATAGTGACTTCGCCAAATGGAAGGTCAGTAGAATCAGCTGATCCACTGTCATTAGAATCGGGAAGGTGTGCGCCACCTAACATCAATGGGAATGAAGCTCAGAGTAGCATTGTTGTTTTCGACCTTGTTTCCGTGGCGGTCGGTGTCACATTCTCGCGACGGGTGCGAATCGCTCACATTGACGTGCAGTGGTGCACGGCCGTGCAGACTATGTACACACACATGTGAGTTACGATGATATGTAACTGTAATCGTTTCTCGTCGTTCATCGGAAACTTCTGCGAAAGTGTAAATTATACATCGACTGTCAAGGCTAACGTCACGTGTCGTCCCGCGAACCGTGCCGATCCGAGGCGGACGGACGGGTACGTCGGGGAACAAAAGCGGAAGGGCATCGTTCGGTACTCGAGGCGAACTGGATCACAAGGGACGAAGCTCGAGACGGGGAGTGCGCGAGGATCACGCACGCGTTTCGTTGAAACGCGACATGAATCCTCGGGGAACGTACCGTACTGATCTTTCGCACGCGACGCGAGCCGTATTGGCTGTACTGCGACTTGTTGAGCGACACGCGCGACATTCTACGATCGCCTTAATGTCACACTCCGCTCGTTCTGCCGTTGGGCTCCACGTACTGTGCAGAAATATTCTATTTTCGTACAACGTGCGCGCAGCTGCGCGCGCTCTGTGTTCTTTCTTCCCGTGACTTTATTCCGCAATACAATATACACGCCACTTGTGCGTTCTTACAACGCTTCCCCTGTTCGCGAATTTAACAGGAGCAGCGTATCACTCGTCAAAATCCGCTGCCATGTCTTTCACACTCGCGCGTCCCGCGTCAACTTTTGTCATACTGCCGTCGCGCGCCCACCGCCCTACGCGATGTCAAAGGGACCACTGCGTCACACCAGAGTTACAGCCCTCCCTCGAGACGAGTCGAGGATGGACGCTGTCCTGTTCCAGGTAACGCGGTATTCGTACACGATCAAACGATAGGCGTCTCGGCAGGCTCAGGTCATCGACGAGGTCCAGCAACGGAGCAACGGATGCATGCGAACGGAGCGACACTTCACACCTCGTACAACGATAATACTGCACGCGCGAATTCTCATGACAACTTTGCCGGCAAGAATGACTAGACCGTCGGTGGACGTTTTCGCTACTGCGTATCACTACGCGCCACGGAGATTCTATTTATATACAAACACTGCGTTATTAATTCTCTCCGTCGAACAAAGTTACTTTGTTCTCTGCACGCGACACGTTTCTTTATGTGTCATCGTGTCCGAACCAATCTGTGCAGTGCGAGAATGATGCTCTGTGAACGGATGGGAACACCATGCAACGATGTGTCAAATAATTGCGATCCCTGCCTGGTTCGGTGATTGCGAACGCGCGTGTACAGATGCACCGTGTGTTCTCTAGCTATAGGACGAATCCCTTTTGAAGCTTGCGACTAAATCACACTCGAGTCCTCGTCGAGAGTTTAAGTACCCGCGGAACAAAAGGACTGCTCGCGGCTCGCGACGAGAGAGTTCTGAGCTCTCGTTCAAGCGGTACTGATCGGCCGTGCGCGAAAAGTTAACCTATAAACGCGAAGGCGTCGTACTCACGCGTCCCCACCCTGTCACAATTACGTGGCGCGACAACTAGACGATATGCGAATTTGCATCGACCATGATTCTAAAAGACGGCTTGAATTTTCAAACGGTTGCGGTTTTCCTCCCGAGACTCATGTTCTCAGCGAAACAAACGTCGACTGTCCGATTCGAACGAGAAAAAACGAAAAGCTGACGAAAGAGAAATGGGCACCGATTAGAAAAAAAGAATTCTCAACGGTCGCTTCTATAGATGTATACATACAGAAGGTAGGCATACATATGAAAGGTTTTGATACCGAGCTTGATTCAATTTGCGACCTTACGAAAGTGTTACATAAACGAAAGCTATAAAGTATTAAGAGGCTCGGGGGCCGTGATGTAAACAGTTCGTACGTAGTCGCCGATCTTTTTTCGCGGTTCTAACGTTACCCTCGATTTTACGCGTGCTCGAGTGTTAAATTTTTTCATTCGACAAAATTCGTACATCTGATACGATGACCGACGGTCTGTAACAATAATGCGCGTGTGGGAAAAGAAACTAGTTCAACGCTGCATTGTTTGCATTTAATTTGAAGAGTCGGAGCACGGTTGACCGACGCAGTGGCAGCGCAAAAATAAAAAGAAGAAAAACAACTCTGTGACATTGTGCTTCACGCATGGCCGAAAACCCTTTCGTTGCCTATTTAAACATACCCGACCATTGAATCGTTGGACGTGCCGAGGGTTAGCTTCTGCATCGCGGGAAAAGTTACACCGCGTACGACCGACACGGTGTAGCTCAATGTCACATCGTCTCTGTACAGCGTGGATGATTCACATCGGCTTGACGTAGTGTAGCCGAGATCTACAAGTTATTTACTTTAAACGTGCACCAGTACCAGCATTCGAACTTACGCTCCATGTATCGACATATCGTTCCGCGTTACCCATCAGTCCGGCGTTTTACAGGCTGTAACGTGCGTTTTTCCGTATTTCAAACGTCATTGGGCAAAGACGAGTCCGCAGCCACTCGCGAAGTTTATGCAATTTTTAGAGTTACCCGTTTCGAAACGTTACCTCACTCAGCAAATATTTGCTGGCAACGATCTCGTACTTCACGAAGAAAGTGACAGTTCCCGATGGCGCGCCGCTATCAGCTGGATCGAAAGCTCGGTGGATCGGTTAGGGAAATCGTAACGTGTATTTCGCGAAACGGCCATCGTACTCGCACTGTAGCGTGACGCGCGTTCAAAAATAATGATCCGGTGTTCGACGCTTTTTACAAACTCGTAAAATTGATCTCGCGCACGAGGATATCGAAATATATACGTGTTATCGAGATTACCGACGACGCATAGAATCGCGGTTAATCAATAGCCATCTTAACGACGGCTGCCTCGAAAATCAGCGAGACGATCGAATTACGGCGACGCGCGCGGACGAGAGATGGCGAGAGGGGACGCAGTTAAACATCAAATAAACATTCCGAAGACGATCTCGAGCCGACAGTGGTAGAAATACTCGACCGATCGAAACCGATAAAAGGGATAGGTAGAGCCGGGAATGGTGCCACTGGTGTGTAACGTCGATCGCGCGAGAGTTACTGCCGCGGCGCGCTGCTGCGTTTCACTGTTCCTCTGCACGTTTTCGTTCCGGAGCGCGCTTATGAATTAATTAGATAACAACCAGCGACAATTAGTCCCGCGCATGAAAACACCATCTGCTTCTCATCTCCGCGGAAAAATTAACTGGCAGAAGCCACGGGACTGTTCGTGCCGCTCTATTCGAGTGAAGCCAATTCGTGGTAATTGACAAAACGCTGTGCGTATTTTCGTGACTCCCATTCTGCGCGACTCGATTATCGAGCATTTGTATCGACTAAGTACATGAGCCGGTCGCGTCCAACAGCGACGATCGAGTGAAATCGGGCTTTCTCTTTTCAATTTTCGACGCGTGCAGAGTCTTCGGAAAGCGAGATCAATAATCCACGATATGATCGCGAAACATCTGGTTCTCATCGTCCCGACGGACGTCAGCAACTCGCGATACCTTGAAATGACTCAGAAACCATAAACGATGGCTACATCACGATGTTTTCCTGATTTGCGACCGACCATTGTTTACGGCGGCGGTGTTAGCCTCTCTCCGTTCGTCCCAGTTTGCTTAGGACCGCGAGATACCGGGAGGAGCCGCGATAAACGCTGCGCGAACACAATAATCGTGAAAGGAAGAGCAACATTCCCCGGATTCGAATGAATCACGTTTGTCTGAGTATGCATTTCAAATTATCGTCAACTCGCCTGAAACGGCGGTGTCCACGTTCTTTAATTTTTATTCCCCTTCGTCATTGCATCGCAATGAACTATGAATGTTTATAGCTGGGGACACGTAATTGTAAAAAGTAGATGAAGCTTCCCATTCAGCGATTATTGCGAGCTTTTCAATAACAAAATCGAGGAGCTACACCATCGTTCGTAATCGCAGATATTAATCGTCTATTTATTCCATTTATTATCGCAGAGGATGATCTAACATTCTGATCTGGTGCACACGGTTCCCAAAATTTGTCTGTCAATTATCAGTACAATGTTTAACTGATCATTTGTCAAGGAGAAAATTACCGCATTCATGGACACGTACGCCTATTTATTACATTACTTTAGACGGCCGAATAGTCCGGGGATAAGGGAAATACTTGACATCGATACAAAATGATAACGAATTCAACAAACACTCAAAAGATAAGACGTTCGCGAGTAATAAAATACAATTTAATCCACGAGTCGACACCATCATAAACTGGCACGTTGTACGATTTACGTGAAGGTAAAACGGCGGTATAAAGTATATAGGTAATAACATCCGTGGCTCTTCCCGGAACCCAACATTTTTTAATACGAAATCTCGGCGCGTGCAATAACCGCGAACGAATACACACGCTCCCTTTATCGATGTACGTGGCTGGGAAATACGTATCAATTCTGTTACTGAACCAGCCGTGTATTTTGACATTTACATTTAGAATCCTCCGTAATCTGTGGTAATCGTGATCGACGGTGTTTACGGATGGTCTCGAGTTAAAATTTCGTGTGTACGCACAGATGTAAAACACGCCCACCGATGCGCGAATTGAGTTTTCGACTATTTAATTTTATTCGATCTCGCGCCGAGCCACGCGGTGATCTATCGTTAAAATTAATTTGCAACCACCGCCAGCGTCGGACACCGCGACAACTCGATTAAACGCGAGCCGTGCGTATCGATCGATTCGTTGATCTCGGCGCAGTTGATCTCAACGATCGCAGAACAACGAGATGTGAAACATGAAACATTTTACGTACCTTATTCTTAGGCGACATCGCAAGTTAACGAAGTTTCGACGGGTCCTGCCTGAATGAAGATGAATACACCCTCGCGATGAATAGGAGAACGAATGAGAGGGCAAGGAAAGAGAGACGGCTGGACTCGCCCCACCTGAGTGGACAGCGTCCAGCTGCGATACGAGAAACGAGCGATATGAAAATGCGCGCTGCTCAACCACCGGCTGACTTATCGCCGACTCCGACGTCCATCCTATGCCCCACTCTATGAAATCTCCATCTCACTCCATTTCCCCTTGCCTACTAGTCCTCCCGTGTGTCCCTATCGTATCATTTTGCTCGATGTCTCCCTCTTTGTTCGCCGATTTCCCTCTCTATACACAGACACATCTATCTTTTTCTTCGTTCTTTTGCCGCACGAAAGATCGCGACCGTCTTTCTTCCGCTACCGATTTCCGCGTAGCCATTTATAACATTACTCACGGCGATGCGTCGCTGCGGCAAGCGGAGCAAACGGAACTGTCGGTAGGTACAAAGTTCTAACCGCGTGCGCTCCGATATTCCAAGTATGCACGAGATATCGCGACTGGATGAAGATCTATCGGTTACCGGTACAGACTGGTGAGCGACATAGCATATCAGTGGACGTCGGTCTGCGATTCGCCGAGCAATGGACTGAACGAAGAAAGGGAACGACCCGACATAGGGTGGAAAATCCGCGCGCGAAAGGGTAGCTCCCCAACAGCTGAATCTACATGGAACCCGATACGATCGAACGAAGGTTATTTTCTAAATTAAACGGTTTCGAGTATTTCGTCACAGGGGAAGTTCTAGCACAGATGCGCGAATATATACGTCTCTGTTTTATGACGAAAATAGAGTGGCAAATCGTACCGTTCGGCTCACCACACGTTTCACGTGTTTCAGGCACTGCCTGATTCTACTCTGCTTCTTCTACTGGTTGCGTGATCCTTTTAGTTCCTTACTGCACGAATATAACTTAAGCAGTGAAACGAAGCCTTTGAAAGTAATGAACTAAAGAAGCGAATGAATGATAAAGTGGAAATACGAGGGGGAGAGATAGAACGTGATTTAAGATAGATGAAAGGAACTTACGGCCGGTGGTTTCGCCTTGATCTGCAGGCCATCATCGTCACCGATCTGCTCCCCAATCTGTTCGCGGCTGCTAGCGGGGCCCATCTCAGCGCCGCGGCGCCTACCCTATAGTCGGTTCTCACTGTCTTCACCTGATCGAGACGATCACCGGTTCGCGATCTCGTTCCTCGTGAACGAGGAACAGCGCGAGATCGCCGGGATATCACCAGCCGGATGGCACGTCCCTCGGCCGGTCCGGTACGCTCCTTCCCAGCTTACAAGCCCCCCATCGGTGTTGCATTAACAATCTTGGTAGTCGTAGCTGTTCAATGACAGCTTCTTCCGACTATTTCACCCTCCCCTTTCTCTCTCTCTTTCTCCCTCTCAGTCTCTCTCTCCTTCTCTCTTGTACTTTCACGCTCCTCTTCCCTCAGTCCATTAAAGTATACCAGCGAAGATCAAGGAAACAGGATTTCCCGAGAATCCTTCCGGAGGGAGCAGGACGATAGAGGCAGGCCGCGGTCACAGGTCGGTCGAACGTCACCGGGTAGTTTCTTTTTCCGGTACGTCCCGCGGTACATGGAATTCGGCGAAGTCGCGACACAACCGCCACCACCGGCACCAATTCTCAGATCGTTCGAACCCCTCGACGAGGACGTCGTTTGCACCCCGCGCACGACGCTAATCAGAATTTCGATCCACCTTTTCGGCAGCCTACCGTATACCGCCTCCCCGGGACCGACTCTCTTCGGCTCCTTGCCCGACCTCCGACGCGGAACACCAAGCAATTCTGCAACCACGCTGTTACAACCGCCGTAGACCGTTCGCCAGAGAATATTCACCGGTAGAACCGAATTGTGGAAAACGTTTAAATCCTGTTGAACAGAATTTTCTCACGGACGACCCCGCCGCGGGTGGGTAGCGCCGCGGCGCCCCGGGATCAATAAAACGACCGCCCGGCCGTCGCCTTTCCTAGGTCCTGCCTGCCTGCCGTGATCTCCCGTTTACCCGACGCCCGACGTCGCGACGCGTGCCCCCCACTCCCGGCGTCGCGGCCGCTGAACGCGCCGATACGCCGCGTACCGAACGCAAGCGCGATCTCTCGTCGCGCACGCCTCCACGCGACCTCTCACCAGGAGCTTGCGCAGCTCGATTATCGACGCGATAGCTGCTCGGTATTGCATGCATCGTTCTGTAACCCCCCCGCTCCCACCCTACGGCCCTTTTTCCGCCCGTCCTTCTTCTACTCGCTGTTTTCCATATGTCTCTTTATGCACAACCAAACATACAGATTTCCCCGAGTCGCACACTATATACTGCAGCTAATGTCCCCGCTTTTTCCTTTTTGTTCCAAGAATCGATCTATGTATGCAATTTTCGCTAGCGTGATCGTGAGTCAGACCGTACGAACCTATGGCCTTTCGTCCGTCATTGATTAACGAAGGATAATGTCTCTGGAACTCGTCGTCACTTTTCGTTTAACGAAATAGATTTTTACTACGGCGCGTCTTATTGCTCTCTGCATCGGTTCAACTTAGTCCTTGATGGAAAATTGCGGTTGTTCACCTGTTTTCAAACTTGTAATTATAAGACCAAGTATGAGGTGTAATTACACGGCTTACGTATCACAACATTGTATCAACAAGGAGCCGGTTTGCGATTGCGAAACGTAGTCGAACATAGGGATAGATACGAATCTATTCGGTGGGGTTGCGACTCCGGAACGAGATAGACACTGCAGTGTTCGTCGTCGCAACCTTCGGAGTTGAAGGTCGTCGATGCTCAATGAAATTTAGAATAGCACGTTTGCTATTGATGCAACGATCGTTTGCGCGCGATCAAACGCAGATGGGCATTTCAATGAAATTTACAACTGTAAAAAAATAGGAGTGAGAGTCAGTTAGCGTTCGTTCGCCAGTTAATCCTGGTGTGAATAAACGGGTAAACATAGTGCCTACTCTATCAGAAAATATTTGCGTAATTCGTTTAATCAACCAGAAAATATTTATGCACACGATTACGTTTTATTATCTAACTGTATGCATAATCGATTTCGTACTATTCCGTACGCTGTCCCGTGCAATTGCTTTTATTTTATAGCAGCACAAACGCAGATCGATAGTCGACGGTGGCTGAGAGTAGTCACGAACAAATCCCGAGAACATTCGAATTGTTTGATAACGCCGTAATCGCAAAATTGACGCCTTCCAACAAAAACGAGAACCGCATTTCCGCGAATACCGAAGTAGGTATGCGCATACAGACAGTCGTTGCCTCGTGAATCGTCTTCTCGCTCGAATCTCTTAAGTCCCCGGTTTATCTAGAAGATTAGCCACACGGAGAAAAATACCTTTCTTATTAACAAATTGCAACCTCGCCGCGTCCAGTGTTCGACGGGAAAGAGAATCAAGGCAAACATGTTCAATTCGAACCGATATATTTCTGCGAATCCCGTAACTGTTTTATCACTTGTTTCGCGACCGTGCTCATCTCGTTCTTGTTCGAAGTCGCGATATTCTCTATTTTGCCGATCGGCAGGCTCGTGATCAACTCGTGAATGTACTTCGGATTGGTCAGACCATACGTGATCGAGTACAACACGCGCAGACACAGAAACAATATTTCGTCCGGCAGAGAATTGTTCTTTAGATAATAACTCAGCATGTCGCCGATCCGCAATTCGAAGAGATGTTGCAAGCCGGTTTTATTCATACTGACGTTGTAGAACGTCATCAGCATTAATCTAAAGAGATACGTTCGCCATGAGCATGTACAAATAATCGTTGGTCGTTAATTGCTGATAAAATGAGTACCTCTTCAGCGACAAGGAGCCTTGCGACAGAGGCAAGGTGGGCATGAGTTTCACCATCTTTTGTATGAAGGCCCTGCCGTTCGGATCGGTAATTAAAAATTCACGTCCTTCGGGAGTTGCCGATATATTCGTCACAATGCCTAACAACCCAATTATAAACTTATATTCGACGTTACAGGTGGGGGGGAATGCATTTCGATAAGTGTTTATAAACGCGACGAAACTTCCGTCCGTTATCGATAAAAACTCGCCAATCTTATCCTGAAACTGAAACGAAACGGTCGAAACCTCGCTGCTCGTCGGATCCCGAACATAGAATGGATATTTACCCCAGATAGCCAGACATCAACGATCTCCGGACATCTAGACGCACGCCATGTCAAATTGCCCAAAACTGCGCCTAAAGTCGCACAGTACGTACTCTGATTCAATATCTATGGAAATAATAAATGCGCGTTAAATGACGCTGCCCGATTCATGTGTCACGGCGTTGTCGAATTACTTGTTCTCTTAAATATTGTATCTCCTCTTGCGCCTTTTTATTCGCGTCTACCTGCTGCCGCAGCTGACCGTGTAATTGCGAGCACTCGAATTCCAGTGCCGATATTCTTTCTTTCTCCTCTGCAGAGGTCGAGAATGTGAAACGATACGACCTACATTTTTTCGCTATTTTCGAATGATAACAAATAAATCCGCACACCTTTATTTATCCGATCGGTCAGAGATTTCGGACCGATAAGATCTTGTATTTTCTGCCTGTCTTGTATATTTAGCCTCTCTAAATCTAAGTCTAAGCCAGAAGTAACAAGCGCTTCTGGCAAGTCTTTCATAAATTTATGAACACTTTTCTCGACGGTCTGCAAGGTGTCCTCCACGGAGATCTGAAAAGTTTTTTTATTACATATTGCATACGTTACGCGGAAGCAGGTTTCCCTTTAGCGTCACTTCCGGCTATTTTCTAGATTCTACAAAACCACAGAGCGCAGAATGTACGATGCTAATTGTTGCTTAAACATCGAACGGAATATCAGCCGATTTTTAACGTACTAAAAATTGTTCATCGTCTTTCAGATTTGTTTGATCCTCCTCAGCATTCGTGTCCATGTTTATCCAACTGAATATTATGCCAATATTGACAATCTTTTGAAAAACTTCATGTCATATCGTGAAAATTATTATAGCCTGCGTTAAATATAAATTGATATTGTAAACATGTGCATGCGGTACCGTGCGAGATTCAAACGGTATTTAAAGGCTATAGTCAATTGGTTCGTGTAAGTAAAAGGAAAAATCTTTTCTTTTTTGAAGTATCATTTTTCAAACAAAAGCGCGCATGTCTGTGTTTCGGTGATAATGGCCAGGAAAATTCCGCACTTATAATGGTGTCTTCTTAATTTGATTTTCAAAAAGATTGGAAATTGTTTTTATTTATATTATATTCTTTCAAAGATGCAAAAAAGATTTATCAGTCTCTCTATTTTACTTCCCGATAAAAATAAACGTTGTATGATATTATCGTATCTTAATTATTAAGACCGAAAAATGGTATCGATAATCATACACGTGTTTAAAACAAATGCTTCTTCTGAACCTTTTTAATCCTTGTAAGTATTGAAGGTGCATGTATTATATTTTAATCTCTAGAGGAGATAATTTCATTCAAGATAATAATTGTCAGTGCACATGTGCGTATAAATGAAACAGCAAGCACGAATTTAAAAATAATACTCTCACAATTCAGGACTTACAGACTTAGGAATTCCAGATTCAACAAATGCAAATATATTCAACGCTCATTCTAATTTCGTTCATTCATTTGTCAAAAATGTTTATCAGCGAAATTTTCTTTATATTGTAAACAGGCCGAAATACAAGCGACGCTAACGCGCAGAGCGTGGGTTGCACTTTGTGCATTTAGGAACGGCGCAACGTGTGCGCGTCCTGCGCGTCTTCGTGTTATGATGCAAAAAAAAAGCGTTAATTATAACCTTACGATTAGAAGCTCCTTTATTTTTAAACCAGCCGGAATTTCGTTGTAAGATATTGCTGTGATTGAAGTGAAATTGTACGTGAGTTATAAAAAAGTGTTGATTTACGTTTAAATATGTTCGAACTTAATTCATAAATTACGATATACCCGAGCGTTTCCAACTACGAGAACCTGGGACGATGGTCAATTTATTTTATAATTTCAACAGTAAATGAACATAGTGGTTCATTCTTCTTATACAAATTAACGTAAACTTCATATACAGTAAAAAGGAAATAGTTAAATCTGTTGCGTTTGAAATTTGATCAACTATTATGTAACAACAAAAACTATTTAAAATTAATTACTGGTTATTAGGTACATAATGAGGTTCGCAGAAGGACAAGAAGTGCTCGCAAAATATCCGAGCACTGATAGGTATCAAAAGGGTACAGTATTAGGTATGAAGGGTGAATTGTATAAAGTACAATTTGAAACTGGTACTGAGCAGTATATTCTTCCAAATGATATTAGGGTATGTATTTCAAAAATATCTGAATTTCAGCTATGCATTTTAAAGCCGTAAACATCTTGTGTAGCATTTTTTTTTTTTAATAATTAGTTAAATAGACCATCTAGAAGTACAACAAGAAAAACTGGGAAAAGTCCTACTAGGCGTTCTCCAGCTAGAAGGTCTCCTGGTAGACGATCACCTGGAAGGCCTCCGTCATCTGCAAATAAACAAGATGCAAAGGGTACAAAGTTTGCTAAAATTTCTTTACCGCGGATCGATATGCCTGGTAAGAGTCATGCCATTCATTAACAATCATATTTGGAGAACGATACACTATCTTTAAAGAATAACTATTAAGTAGTTCGATTTTTTATATATGAAATATGTAGATATCATAAGTACGAAAAGTACAGATGACGAAAATTATTCCGTTGAATCAATGCCGCTTCACTCACGTGTAAAGGGGCTGGGAACAGTCACGCGCAGGTCAACGAGACTGTTATCTGGTACGGTAAAACCCGAATCAGACCTGAATAAAATGGTTTTACTTACAAGAAACATTAATAGAGCTGTCTCGCTTCCTTTAGAAAGGAAAAGTCAATTTCACGAATTTAGCGCTGAAGAAAAGGAGAGAGGCCACTCAGTACAAAGAGATCAGGTAGAATTTCTTTTTCGTAAAATTAAAATTATCTGTATTAAGTACAAGGAATGAAATATTTTATTCCTTTCCCATCAACGCTTGATTTCAGGATTTATTGAAATCTTTAAATTACGAACAAGTTGTACATCCTAGTACAGAAAAGATAGAAAAGCGGAAAAAAGAAATAAATATGGTCAATGAACCCCAAGAGTGGGGAGGATGGATGGGATCATTCTTTCTGATATTTCTGACACCTCTGATTACGATTTTACCGCAATTAATGTGCACAGAAAGCACATGCACGTTTGGTTATTTTAATATACCCGAAGATCTAAGTTCTTACATAGATCTAAAAGTTTTTGGTGTCTATTTGGGTCTTCTGTTGTTTGTAACTGTTATATCGATGATCCCGATTGGACAAAAAGTCGATGGATTACAAAGTAGAATCGGGAGATTACAGTATCGTTTAAATGGTAAATTTGTACAATATTTGAATTTGTTTGATAAATGTGTCATTTGAATGAAACTATAAATCTTGTCCTTTCAGGATTTGTGTGCTGTCTTCTATCGATAATCGTATTTGTCGCATGTACATATAAAGAATTTAAAATCGCTGACTTTATCATAAACAATTATGTACAATTTTCGGTCAGCGGTTGGATCATTGGAGTAATCTTATCATTGTTGTTATTTATAAAAGGAGGCAAAGCCCCGATAGCAAATCTAAATATACACGGGTCTACTAAAAGTGTAATATATAACTTTTGGCAAGGAAGGGAAATCAATCCACGAATGGGTCAAGTGGACTTTAAAATAAATCTCTTCCGGACATCCATGATAGCTACAGTAAAATCTGCCTGTTAAAATATCTTATTACCTACTGACATACACGTTATATAACTTACACAAAATTACAGGTTCTCATAAATTTGTCTATAATATTGAAATCAATTGAGAAGTTCGACATTTACAATTTAGAGCAAAACAATGTAGGTGTCTTATTGGGCACCTTATTGCAAATAATTTACGCAATGGACGCACTCGTTTACGAACACGCGTTACTTACAACATTCGAAGTAACGCAAGAGGGAACTGGTTACATGTTGTGCACTGGTTACATGCTATACCCGTTTTTACCTACTCTTGCAACAAAATATATGCTGTATCACAGGTGAGTCTTTACAGAAGTATCGCAACGCAGACGTATTTAAAGTCAGAGCTACAATTAAACATGTATTTCAGGACAACACTCAGTTATCTGTTCGTATTCCCTGTACTTACTTTCTTACTCGGGTACGTCCTATATAGAAAGAGCAACTTGCAGAAAAACGAGTTCAGAATAAATCCTTTGTCTCCGTCGTTGATTCATGTTGAAACAATACCAACTGTACGTGGTAAGAAGCTCATGGTGTCTGGATTATGGGGTCACGTAAGGCACCCGAATTATTTAGGTGATATAATCATGTGGTGGTCGATATCGTGCATCAGTTTGGCATGTGATATTATGCCTTATTATTACACAATACTGTGTACAATTTTATTAGTACATCGAGCAATAAGGGACAATGAACGCTGTAAAATGCGTTACGGATTAGCGTGGGAGGAATACGAATCACGCGTCAAGTACATGATTTTACCCCGTATATTTTAAAACATGTATGCACGATGTTAGCCAAGTATTTCTAAATCACATGATGTGTCACAAAGTTGTACCTTTAACATCTGTAATGCTCATTATTTTATAGAATATGTTCATTATAGTGGTATCACGTTAAGTTAGTCTTAACAGATGTATTGGACAATATATAGGGTCCAAACAGAAAGAGAATATTCATGACATTAGTATTAGATTTGTGCATAACAATTGTGTAAAACTTTAAGATAATGAACAAAGTGCAGTTATTTATGAAGAAACAAAAACAGAAGATATAGATGATAAGATATACTTGATACAGATATGTAAATGTACAATATATTTCTATATAATAAAGACGAAACAGAGTTTTTATACATTTTATATAAATACAATTGTACAATTGACAAATAAATAATTTTATAATATTCACGTGGTTTTTATAATATTATGTTTCCTTTCCTTGTGTAAAATACATGTGAGATCTGAATCTCTGTTTTCCTGTGTGTCATCGTCTAGTGTGATGGTATGACACAGCAACCACAGCATTGAGAAGTCTCATTCTGTCAACAGTGTCTGCATTGGTTTTCTCAAGTATTATTTAATAAAATGGCAAGTTTTTTTGGCGAGGTAGTGTTCCCGGTATCACGCGCGTTTTGGGACGATGAAGACGAAAATGGAACAAGTGAATCTTCTGTGAAAGAACCGTAAGTTAAACTCTTATCCAACGTAACCTCTTCTGTATGCAATTACTTTCAGGTATGCTTTTTTTGAATATATTTCAGCAAATTTTTTGTGCGATGGTTGAAAGATAAACCATCTGACATCGATACATTAATTGTCATCGAAGGCGAAATGTTAATCGGTAATATACATGTGCATTTATCCATGCCGGCATTTACGTTCTACTGGCCTTGTAAACGATGTTGATGAACTTGCAGATTTTTCGAAAGAATGTTTATGTCAGAACTCAGAGGAAGCATGTTTCGTGGAGGACGATAAGCAGAAAAAACTGTGCACGATTTATCAAGTAAACGAGGAGGTATACGTGTGCATTGTATCTTCACAATTCGATGTAAAATTCTCAGGAATGCTTGTGGAGAAGGTATTAACATTCATCTTAAATGTACTTGTTAATAACAACACGAATCAATTAACGTCAAATTTATTAGATGAGTGATGTCATATCAAGCGTGAAAAATACAATATGCGTAACGTGTCGGCACATGTCTCAATTTAAAAGTAAAAACGTACCAGAAGTACCGTCGTTCTTAAGGATGCTATTTACAAAAAATGGGCAGAACGTTTGCAAAGTGAAAGAACCACTTTTGGAGCGGCCAAACATCATATACGGAGTTACCGCTGGAGGTTGGTATTTAATAAAATGTGGTACATAGTTAAAATTACAGATTGAAACATATATTTCTTTCAGTATTGTCATACGCCGAGTTTATGGAATTACCTGCAGTTTTGTACGTCTTATATACAGATTGTTTCGCGCTCGACTCATTGTCTGCAGAACCACTGTTAAAGCTGTTCGCAGCGGTAAATTGTAAATTACACGATGTCACGTTTGCTGGGAAAGACTTTTTTAATAAAGGCAACCTTTATATGTAAAACGGTCTATTCGTTTCTATTTGAAGTCGTAAATTGAAACACACATCATGTGATACATATAAAAGCTTCACCCTCTAGGTACGCTATTGTCAATAATAAACTTTGCATATTTACATTATTTACAATAATTCAATTATAATTTCCATGGTAATACGGATTTTAATTATTATATTAATAATAGTTACACAAACAAACTTCGTAAATATAGTATTACCGATTTTTATGTGTTAAGGTTGTGGCGGGTAATATGCACGTGGTGCAGGTGCGGGCGGCACTGAATTACTTGGAGGAAAATACGTTGCGTTTGTAGGATAAGCATACGGTTGGAACGGTGGTTGTGGTGTGGAAGGAGCAGGTGGTGGAGCCCTGATGGCACCGGCAGTAGGCAAATGATGTATTGGCGGGACGATATGATTCATTGTATTTACAGGAGGCGGGGGTACAGAAACATTAGTTGGTGGAAATGCTGGAGGGTAATTGATATTACTAGGTGCGAAATTCGCTGCATATGTTTGGAAGTGTGTCGGTACGTCCATTGGCTTCATTGCGTCTGTGGTGTCTGTAGTTGAACATCCATTTGCTGAAACTGCAGACCCTTCAACTTTAATCTTCCCCGGCGTAACTGTGACACGATATTTAATTTAATTCTGATTCGTATCGATAATAAACTTTCTGCGCTGCACATACCATTCGGTGTAGTCGATGCTGGCTCTGTAACAGGTGGTTGTATAGCTCGGTCTCTAGCTAATTCATTAGACGGTGTCAACGGCGGTGAGTCCGGTGGTTTCGCGTTATTTGCTTGTGAATACAAATCCAATACTTGATGACATATATCTAGAAACATCAAATATACAACTAGAGATTGCATTTATTTTTTACACCCATTCAAAAGTAGACTTTAATTTAAACCTTCTAACAGATCCATAGTCACGTCCTCGACGAACATGTCCCACCAACGTAAATGTTTCGGTTGTCTTCCATTCCAATCTACTACTTCAAATTTGCTTAGTTTTCCAGCTAAATACATGAGAGCTACAGCTATAATTTCTGGTTCCCACTGCAATGACAATGTGGTACATAAGCTGTAACAGAAAACAGATGAAGGTAACATGTTCTGTTGTAATTAATACATAAATAATATCGAACTACTTTCATTATTACCTATCATTAACAAATGTCCAAGCCATTTGAACCATCTTTTGCAATTTATTTTTATCGCCTGTAATATATACCATCGGTTTTACTGTGTCATCGAGTACATTTGTTATATTAGAAATTCGTAAGAATTGACATACCTTTAAGACATTTCGCATATTTTAACAAGTAACTGTATGGGTGTTCAACTTGCAAATCGAACTTAATAGTTTGCAACAGAATTCTTTCTAGTGTCATGACCTCCTCCTTAGAAATGAGAAAATTCATAAACAGTTCATTTTAGTACAGCAATTATTATCTTAACTGGAAGAGAAATCTACCTTCGGATCTTCCCCAAATGTCATAAATTTCTGTTCAGTTAACAAAGACTTTGCAATCCTAATTATGTCTTTACATTTCTTTGGAGTTTCTTCTACCTTGCCTGCCAGGAACAAACAACAGCATGCAGTCACCTACATGACATTTGTACGTAATACATGAAACTTATCCACCTGTTACACTATTCTACACTAAGTACAGAATTAAATACTCACGTATCTTGGGAAATTTTTGAATGAATGGAACATGTAAAATCTGTGAAAATAGACAACGCCAGTTGCCATCGTGTTGTATCCCAGGTCCATTTTGGTGCCAGTGTCGATGATAAACCTGGCACCTTCCTTTCTATATCTACATTCTGTTTCATAATCGATTCCATCCTGAATGGATGGTGTATTTCTCAGCTCCTTCTTTTCATAATACCAGCATGGCATTTTTGTTTCTTTTAACACAAATACTGAAATTTAACAATACTGATGTTACTATGAACGTTTCACATAAATTACACTGAGATATATTATTCATAAAAAATGATTTGCTAAACGAATAATTTAACGAAAAACAAGAAAAAGCCATCGACAGCATAATAATTATATTAAGCAGAGAATTGTAAAAACATCTTAATTGCCTTTACGAACTGTAAACTTCAAAATGGGTTAGAATGATTACCAACGATTGAATCGTTCCTCTTCTTCACTGCTTTATGTTTTCACTATTATTTTCTTAGCAAACTGGAAACTTAGCACATTACACTTCCACTACTAGTATGGAATTGTTTGTTTATTACAACAAACAATAAAGATACTCTCTAACACTCTCTCATTCATTCGAACGCACACATCGCACGAACGTATTCGCAGTTCGACACCCGTGCTTTAGAAACATATTTTCGCTTTGTCTATAATTATATCCTATATAAGACCACTTGTTGGATGTCACAGGTAATGTCTCATGAACATATTTCAAAATAAATGAAATACTTTACATTCTTCATTTTTTGTTTGTACAGATTTGGAAATGTTGCATGCTAAATGATGCGATTCGTTTGTTAATTAAACGTTAATATAAATGGGGAACACGAGAATATATAAATGATGAAACAATCGCATTTCATCATCATCTGCTACATTAATTGTAATAGCAGCATTTCGTGCATGTGTCATTAATTACGCTTCTACATTTTTTTATGTTGTGTTTGTTTCCTGATAAATCGATAACGCACATAGGTGACTTTTTAAGCCAGGAACACAGGTGCGCCAGAAAACGGGACGATGAAGTAATTTTGTAATCTTTATTTTTGTCAAACAGTTATTACAAAGAATGTGATTGAACTTGTTATTGCAACTTCCACTGTATCTAATAATTGTTCGATCATTTTTCGAATGCTTAGCGTCTCTGCCCTAAATATAATTACTGTGACGATATGAGTATGGTGAGTTCTATATTGAGCATTACTTTATTTATGTTTCCTATAAAACATTGTCCCTGCCATGCTATCAGATGATTTTTTTTTATCATTGCAATAAACTTGTTGAACAGCACTCATCGTTATTCATTCGAGTCTTTTATATATATGCGTACAAAGCAGGTGTTTCCGGTTCGTGTCAGAGATCTGGTTTGAAATACCTTCGGTTTAACGCATTATCTGTGGTCAATACGTGCCTGAATAGATGCCATGTACCGCGAACGCTCGCGAAACAGTACATTCTAAGGGTGATTTGTGTCTTGTTCCTGTGATACCATTAAATGTCAATTTATGACGACCGCGCACGCAAGAGTATTTTACGAAACTCTCTACAAATTCACAGATAACGCAACGTCGAATATAATGCCGTTAGCAAATTTAGCAGTTCCTTGGGCTGAGGAACATGACACCGAAAAGGTACGTATTTATCTAATTGTTAAAACAATCGACCGAACGTCGAACATGTTCTACTCGCTGTTCGTGACAGTTGAATCGACGTTGTGGAATTGTCATATTATTGTCATATTATTTTCAGCAACATGTAGAAATCCTGCAATCAGAATCTCAAGAAATGATAACTCAAGAGAGTGTGGCTGAAACATCTTCGAATGGGTGCTCAGAGTCTCATGAAATAGAAGTGGCTGATGTTGTAAAGGATGGTCATGAGAAAGCAGATCGATCCCAGTTCGAACTGCTTAAAGTCTTGTGCCAGGGGTCCTTTGGCAAGGTATCCAGTATTTCTATTGAATGTGATTGATGAAATATATTAACATAAAGTGTATTAACATTAGTAAATTGTTTAGGTGTTCCTAGTGAGGAAAGTTGTTGGCAAAGATAGTGGTACACTCTATGCTATGAAAGTATTGAAGAAGGCAACATTGAAAGGTATTTAATATTTTAAACCGAATAGCTCTGATGCTTTTAGTCCAAAAACATTAATTTTAAATAATGAAGCTCTCAGAGCAATTCTCAGTTGAAAAATTATACCTTTGTGGCCCTTTTTTAACAGTAATTTAATGTGTAATATTCTCTCAGTTCGAGATAGAGTCAGGACGAAAATGGAAAGGAATATATTGGTGGATGTTGAACATCCATTCATTGTCCGGCTCCATTATGCATTCCAAACAGAAGGAAACCTCTATTTAATCCTAGATTTTTTGAGAGGTGGTGATCTATTTTCAAGATTAGCAAAAGAGGTATCCTTTAGCTTCCTTACCAATGCGTATTCCTGTAATTCATTCATTTCACGTTTATAATACTTGTTCTAGGTAATGTTTACCGAAGATGACGTAAAGTTTTATTTAGCGGAGCTTGCTCTTGCGCTGGGTCACATTCACAAGCTTGGAATTATTTACAGAGATCTCAAACCAGAGAAGTTCGTATTCATATTATTTATTATTCATTTAATTTTTATAATATCATATAAATTTGACGATCGTTTTGTTCGCAACAGTATTTTACTCGATACTGAGGGTCATATCTGTTTAACTGACTTCGGCCTATGTAAGCAACCTGTAGATGATCGTAAGACGTACTCGTTTTGTGGTACTGTGGAGTACATGGCTCCTGAAATAGTAGGTAGAAATGGGCATTCCTTTGCTGCTGACTGGTGGAGCTTTGGAGTCGTTATGGTTGGTCTTAGCGTTGGAAAATACACTTGAAATTATCAATTATGAATTCTAATTAAAATTTGTCATTTTAGTTCGAAATGTTAACCGGAGCTCTTCCGTTTCAAGGAGCAAATCCCAAAGAAACAATGACGCAAATATTAAGAGCAAAACTCGGAATGCCTCTCAACATTTCACCCGAAGCGCAAGCGCTTCTGAGAGTATTATTTAAAAGGATCCCTGCGAACAGGCTCGGATCAGGCGGGACAGAAGAAATAAAAAACCATCCGTTTTTCGCAACAATCGATTGGGACGCGCTATACAAAAAACAAATAAAACCGCCTTTCAAACCAGCTGTCAGCCACGAGGACGATGCGTTTTATTTTGATAGCGAATTCACATGTAGAACGCCTAAAGGTAGTGGCAAATTATTCAGTATTATCTAATTTATATTAGGATCGTGCAAAGCATAAAAATATTTGATTAGATTCCCCTGGAATGCCACCAAGTGCCAATGCTCACGAACAGTTTCGCGGGTTCAGTTTCGTCGCACCGTGTCTTCTGGAGGATCAAGCAAAATGTACTGAATACAAGCACTGTGATAGTCTAATCGAGTCTTTCCCAACTTACGTCAGCCCAGTTCCCATTGCCGACGAATATGAATTGAAACATGCGATCGGTAAAGGTAGCTACAGTACTGTTTTTTTGGCTGTTCACAAAGCCTCCAAAACGGAGTACGCCGTGAAAGTCATAGAGAAATCAAAAAGGAATCCGACGGAAGAGATAGAAATACTGCTTCGATATGGAAGGCATCCGCATATCGTAACGTTAAAAGCTGTTCACGAAGACGATAAACGAGCTTACCTCGTGCTCGAACTGTTACGAGGCGGCGAACTGCTCGACCGATTATTACAGCGACGCAATCTGACTGAAAGGGAAGCTGCCGAAGTGATGTACACGATAGCTAGTGTAGTTAATTATCTTCATGAAAATGGAGTAATTATCCGTTTATTTATCATTTCATGGATGTTGTATCGCGCCGGGTTCGTTGATTGAACTTAATTTGGTTTGCGTAATCGATAGGTCGTTCATAGAGACTTAAAACCATCTAATATATTATATTCGAAACCGGGAGACGATCCGAGTACACTCTGTTTATGCGACCTTGGGTTTGCGAAACAGTTAAGAGCGGAAAATGGTTTGCTAATGACGCCTTGTTACACAGCGAACTTCGTAGCGCCAGAAGTATTGAAGCGTCAAGGATATGATGCGGCGTGCGATATTTGGTCGCTCGGCGTTCTGTTGTATATTATGTTGGCCGGGTAATTAAGCGATCGCTTGTTGTATAAACCTTACTAATTAATTGATACTACTGATTCTGTCTTCATATTATAGGTATACTCCGTTTCGCAACAACCCTGGTGACAGCGCAACAGATATATTGGATCGTATCGGGCCTGGTTGTATCGACGTCGAAACCGGTATATGGTGTCAGATCTCAAGCAAAGCAAAGGAACTGGTTAAAAGGATGTTACACGTTGATCCCAATAGAAGGCCTACTGCAGCTGGCATATTAAAAAATCCGTGGATTATGAATCGCCATTATCTTTCTCAGAAAGCATTACCTGATAGCGTTAGGGACCCACACAGTCTAAAGGTGGATGACGTTTATGATTAGTGATTTCTCGATGTAAGGTTCGAGTTTATAAGCCTTCGTTTATCGTATAAAGAAAACGCTTTCACCAAGTGTCGAACAAAAAGAATACAGAGTGAACAAAAGAGAGGGTCTTCATTTGTATCGAGAAGTATATCTTCAAATAATAGGGTTTCTGTGCATAGAGGAAACTTGAATTATATTGAGAAATCACATATATATTTTATTCTGCGATGAAATTGTTATTATTACACAAATTGCATATAATTTCAGAGAGCGGTAGCGGCAACATATAGAGCGATGTCTAGTGGCCCGAGATCACCTCACATAGGACCTGTCTACATGTCTGAATTGGCTCGGAGAAGAGCGCAAGCCAAGATTGCGGGCCCTACCGATGTTTAAAAACAGATCTACTTCCACTTCGTGTTACAATTTTGCAATTTTTAATTTGTAATTATGTACGTACATGAAAAGACTATATTTTTTGCCGACGTAAGTTTAGTATTATTTGTGCAATGTTCAAATGTAGTTTGTACGTGATAGTTTTATATAAAATGTTTCGATATCGATGTAATTCAATCCACGAAAATCATGTTTAATACCGAAGTAAAAATTGGTGATAGAAATTGGCAAACTACGGGCACGACAGTCTCTGTTGTGGAAATGCTTTCCATTCGCATCCAATGTTTGCTAAAGTCTATCATTCCTTTTTGTGTATTGGAATACACAAAAATATATACATGCATATGGATGTATATACATG